AACCAACTTATTTATAGCTGTTTACTTACTAAACACACACAAGGGAAGGCCAAATGTCAAGGCATTGCTGCAAACTGAGCTGGGCCCTGCACATTTAGTCTGTCACACACAGGGATGCTGGACCTGCTCGGGAGCTGGGGATGGAGCAGAGCCAGCCAAGGAATGTGGGTCCTGCCTGGAAGCTTGTGCTGCTTGCAACCCCCCACCTCAAACATCTGGGAACCCGTCACCTCCTGACTGGGGGGTCACCTGTCCCAGGAGTGCAGTCCCCATTTATCTGCCTGTACAGATGATCTCCTCCTTGGGCTTTAATATTTTTAGCCCTTTCACACCAGCAGCTAACAAGGAAATGTCCAACCCAGGTGTCACACACAGAGAAGAGGTGATGGGGCTCATCCAAGGGCGGTGGGAATGTGTTCCCAGAGCACTGCCTGGGACCCCTCCATGATGGAGGCAAATTCTGATGTCACCACTGCCAAGTCCTTTATCCTCTCCTTACGAAATATTCCAGGGAAATGTGTGCTTCCAGCACAGGCACTGAGGTTTTGCAGGAGGGCAGAGCACCCTTCCCATGCCTGGTGGCCTGAAGGAATGATTTTCCAGGGGCTTTGTCCCCGTCCTGCTTTGTGCCGGACCCTGCTGGGAAAGCCCCAGTTGGCATCTCCCACGGGATGAAACACCTTCCAGGCTGGCTGGAGCCTGGATCCAGCAGTGTGCCAGTGCTCCCTGCCCGGCTGGGCAGGGTGGAGCAGGGTGAGCTCCCCGGGATGGAGCAGGCACAGCTGATCAGCCGTGACTCAGCACCGCCCCGAGTGTGAGGAATGAGGGCTGACCCTGTGCCAAGGGGCAAACCCTGCTCCTGGCTGTCACCTGGCACTGCCCAGCCCACAGGAAGCACAGGTGCTCCCAGGCAGGCACAGGCAGGTCCTGCCAGGCTCACAGACCGGGGCTGTGGTCAGTCTGGCTGGCTGTGAGCAGCAGGACGTGGTCCAGGACAGGCACCTGGATATTTGGGTTGGGCCGCCTGGGAAAGGGGCTGCACATAATCCAGGTGTCCAGGAGTTCTGTTTAGAGGAGGGAAAAGAGGAGCCCGGTCATTTGGAGCTGTGCCAGAGGAGGTTTAGGTTGGATCTCAGGAAGAGGTTCTTCCCCCAGAGGGTGGTTGGCACTGCCCAGGCTCCCCAGGGCAGTGGGCACGGCCCCAAGGCTGCCAGAGCTCCAGGAGGGTTTGGACAATGCTCTCAGGGACAGGGGGGGATTTTGAGGTATCCAGGAGTTGGACTTGATGATCCTTGTGGGCTCTTTCTAATGCAGGATATTCCATGGTTTTATGGTCTCTCCGGGGTGTTTGGGCACATCATCTGGGGTCAGAAGTGACACAAGTGAGACCAGGCAGCCCCCCCTGCATGGAGCAGGCCTGGGGGGCCCAGAGCACGGCCCTGGGCAGGCTGTGCTCCTGCAGTCCTGCTCTGGGGAGCAGGATACAAGGCATTTTTCCCTGAGTAGTGGGCAGTCAGCATCATGGATAATTGCAGGAGTCTTTTCCTGGAGAAGGGGCTTTTCTCCTTGTGCCCCGTGTCCCTCTTTGATCCCTTCCCGGCTCTTTTCTCCAGCTCTCAGCTCCTTGGCTGTCCTGTCCCCCTGCTCCAGGCACAGGCAGGCTGTCCCCGGGTTCCGAGGCGATCGCGGGAGTTTTTGGAAAATGCTTCCACCTCGTGGTCCTCTGGAGAAACGACTGCCTGGGAAACGCCGGGCTGCTCCCCTGAACCCCGGAGAGACGCAGAACCCGGCCCGTGCTGCCCTCTCTGCTCGCTCTGGTGCCTGGGGCGTCCCTCTGCTCAGCCCTGGCACTGCCCGGGCGCTGCTGCATCCAGGGACGGGCACGGGCGCATCCCGGGGCATGAGCACGGGCTGTCCCCGGGGCTGAGGAGGAGTTAAAGCACCCCGTGGTCTGTTCAAACCCAGTCCTCCCAGCGCTCCCAGCCCGCGTGTGCTCACACGAGCGCCTGCAGAGCTCAGCCCCGGGGGCCGGAGCTGCCGAACCAGTTCTGCCGGGGGACAGCACCGCCACTCCTGGGTCCCCTCCAAACGCTGCCTGTGCAGGCAGGTGGGGTGGGGAAGGAGTGGAATGGCCTTGAGTGCACGGTGGGAAGCACCAGGCACCTTGTCACTGCACCGGGCAGCCTCCCCTGGCTGGGAAATGCTGCAGGGAGGGGGATCACAGCCCTGTGGGGGTCCCTGTCCCGCTTCTGCCACCAGCACAGTCTGAAACACTGGGAAAGGCACTTCTGCTGCACCCTGGGAGATCCCTGATCTCCAATTCTCCAGGAAAAAACCATCAGCTTTCACACAGATCTCCTGCTAGGACATAGAGGTTTTCATAGAATCACAGAATCCTCAAATAGTTTGGGTTGGAAGAGACCTTGGAGACCACCCAGTGCCACCCCCTGTCATGGTTCCACTGTCCCAGGTTGCTCCAACCTGGCCTTGGACACTTCCAGGGATGGGGCAGCCACAGCTTCTCGGGGCAACCTGTGCCAGGGCCTGCCCACCCTCCCAGGGAAGAATTCCTTCCCAATATCTCACCTAAACCTCCCTTCCTTCAGCTTAAAGCCATTAAAGCTGTTCTGGCTGGGGTTTGTGCAGGATCAGGATGAAACACTCACAGTTTTCTCCCAGGCCACAACTGTTACACTTCACATTAAACGTTTTTAAGACAAATGATCCCTCTCTTGCAATTCTCAGGCGACGTCTGGTTTCTCCACAAACAGCCTCCTGCCCCTGCTGGCAGGTGGATTTTGGAGAAACCACTTAAAAACCTGGCAGAGCTTTCTTTCCCCACATGCTGCTACAGGAACCAGGTGGGCCTTTGTGAGAACACTGGGATTTAGGGCAGCTGAAACATCCCCAAGGATGGATTAACTGTCCCTCCTTTCTGCCCTCCGTGGAGCTCAGCAAGTGCTGTAGAAATCCAGCTCAGAATGTGTATTTTAGAGGATGTAACCCCTCTTTTCCAAACAGTTTTCAGTCTCAACATTAACTGCAGCCGAGCTGTCCTGCAGCTTGCAAGGCTGTGAACCCCCTGCAGGAAGGGGTGTTCTGCTCACCTGTGCCTGTCCAGCAGCAAACACAGCCTGACCACATCCCTGATCCTGTGAGCATCACATTTCCCCCCCCACACACACTCCAGCCTTGCAGGAACTCACCACCCTGCTCATCCACGTGCTGGGGTGACCTGCCCCTCGGCAGCAGCACCAGAAATCCCTGTTTGTCAGCAGTTCTCCGTGTTCCTGGGGCTCTGCCAGGTCACCAAGGTGTTCAACTCCAGCCAGCAGTGCCCCAGGTCCAGAGGTGCTGCCGAAATCTTCATCCTGTGCATCAAACAAATGGCAAAGTCCTCAGTTCCCACATAGAGAATGGGATGCTCTTGCAGCCTCGGGGTCTACTGAGAAATAAAACACATAGAAGGAATTCTCTGACATCCTAAGGATCTCCCCTGCCCAAACAGAGGTGAGTGGGTGTTTGCTGAGCTTAGTTTTGTAACAGTGGTGGTGTAAAGTGATGATGTTTTTAGTAGTTTTTACTTTTATTAAAAAACAAAGTCCACGAAGATGGCAAATCCATTTGTGCAAAACACACCGGGATTGTTCCCTCTAATGCCAGGGAGAGCAGCAGAGTGCCATGGCAGTGCTGCAGTGGGGTGGCAGAGCGGGATCAGAGGTGGGAAGTGCCCTCACACCCTCACTGAGGCGGCAGCTGCTTCCCCACAGCCAGGAAAGGGGCTCCCCATCCCCGATCCTGTGGAGACTCTGCACAGAAGTGACATCCCTGCTGTCACAGCCAACACCACACACGGCAGAAACCTTTCAGAAGACACAACCAGGCTGCTCGTGTCCCATTTGTGCTCACACAATCCCTGACCCAGCCTCAGCTTGAACAGTCTGCGGAGTGAAAGCCATTCCCGGGAGGAATCGGGAATTAATGCAGCAGAGTGAGCAAACCTGCAAAGCACAATACGTGTGCTTGGAAATGCTGGTACCCAAGAGACACAGCGTGGCTCCTTGGAATCACACAGGGCTGGACTCATTTCTCCTGTTATAAAGGACCTCAAATTTTGCAAGAAAAGTGGTTTTGGTTGCAGTGGGAGCTTTCCCAGCGGGACTTGAGTGAAACTCGGCGGCTCCACCGGTGTTTGCAGAGAGCCTGGGAGAGCAGCCCTGCACAAACGCTGGATTCTCCCGCTGCCACCGCTTTAGACAATCAGCTTTCACCCGGCAAGATCGATCCTGCACGGGGCCGACAGGTAACAGGTAGGCAGGGTTTGAAGAAGGCTTATAGCCGGCTTCCTTTTCCCGGGAACACAACGCGGGGAGAGGCATCTTTAAAGGCAGGCAGGACACGGCCCCTGCTCTCCTGGCCGGGGCTCAAGCGAAGATCGCTCCCCGTTAATGAGAAGGAAGTCGGGAGCGGCGGGATCGGGAAGCGCTTTTGTTCAGCCCATACGGCCAGTTGGCACGTCGGGACCTACCGGGGGTTAATCAAAAGGCGGTGAGAAACCTGCCAGTCGCCATACGAGCCGCCGTCCCGAGGAAATTAAAAAATCAGGCACCATATGCCGCGCGGCCCCGGGGAGGGAGCGGAGCGTCGGGAGCGGCGTCCGCATCTGCCCGGGGCGGGTGCGCTCCGGGCCGGGAGGGAGGGAGGGAAGGAGGGAGGGGGGTCCGGCACCTCCTGCCCCCGCCCTCCCGGGCAAGGACAGCGCCGGGGAAATGAGGGGAGCCGAGGGGAAGGATGACACATGTTCAGCCCGGCCCAGTGGCAGAGCAGCCGGCGAGGCAGAGCCAATGGCTGCTTTTCATGCTCAGTGAGTCCGTCCACCTCCACCCCCCTCCCCGAGTCCTTAAGTTGCAGCTTTTAACTACCTCGGTGTTCAAAGCAAATATGATGCTCAGCGTGAACAGAAGGAAGAGCCTGCTGACAGGTAGACAGCATGGACACTGATCCCGGCAGGGCCGGCTGCTGAGAGAGGTACGTGCTTTCCAAGGCAGGGATCCGAAAGCAATCACATTTGGGATGCAAACTCGGAGCAGACTTTAATTTTCCAGCAGGGGGAATATGGAAATCTGGCTCGCTCGAAATGATTCATCCCCCCCCTCCCGCCCCGTTCCCACCACCGCCACCTCCCCTCCCCCTGCGTCCTCTCCCCATCCCTCCCAGCACAAACGCTTCGCCGCAGCCTCTCCATCCCGGTGCCTCCGCCTTGGGGGTCCTGGTGCTCCCCGCTAAAACCGGGAGCGGAGGTTTAAGCGGGACCTGGGGACAGGGTGGTCCCCGCGGGGTGGGTGGGCTCGGGAGCCGGGGCACGGGCGGGTTGGCTCGTGCCAGAGGCTGAGCGGGGATCCCGGCTGGCAAGAACCATCCCTGGGGAGCCGGCACGGCCCTGCCCGGCTCACGGGAGGCAGCCGGGGGCTCTCCCGAACGGCCGCTTTTCCCTGACAAGTGTCAGAGCCCGGCGCTCCCAGAGGAGGGAGGGGAGGGCGGGGGGGAGCGGTGGAGCAGGGCCGTGGCAGAGTTAAGCTCCCCCCTCCAAGGGCTTTGTGCTCAAAGGCGACTCTGCCCCAGCCCTGCGTTAATCTCACCCGTGTCCCCTGCCCTGAACTGGTCTGGGGAGAGGGGAGGGGGAGGCCTGGCCCAAGGATGTCTCTTCCAGGCACTGTTGCTGGTTGTGTGAGCCCCGGTTGTGTTTGCTGATTCCGGGGAGACCCTCTCCTTTGGCTGGAGTGTGTCCGACCTCTGCGTGGCTGTTGCAGACAGAGGGTCCCCCCAAACGTCTGGGTGGCACCTCTGGGGAGGCAGAGGGAGGTGGGGGTGACACTGGTGTGACAAAGCCCCTCGTCTGGTGGCAGAGGAAAGTGGCTTCTCTCGCGTTGCCGTGTGGGAGGTGTCGGGACTTGCTGCTCCCGGGATTTCTGTGCGATTCCTTCTCACGTTTGTAAACACAGAGCTGTTTTCTCAGGCACATCCAGGAGAATTAAAAAGGGGGGAGTTGTGGGGATCCTCCAGCCAGGGCTAGCAGGATCTCCCTGCCTCCTGGGTAGCTTGGAAGAACTTTGATGGGCTTGAGAAGAAGAGGGGAGCCGTGGTGTGCATCCCCTGAGCTCAGCTTTGCTCTGCCCCATCCCGAGGATGGACACAGGGCAGGGTCCTGAGCCAGGGCTGCTCTCAGCGGCTCCGTTTCTCATTTCCACCCTCCCTGCTGTCGGAGGTGATTCTTGCGTCTGTGCCGGTATAAACATTGTCGAACAAATCCTTCCTGGCGGCGATGCCATCAGGTGGCGCTTGGGAATAGGCAGCGTCGCTGTGGGAGTCTGGAGAGGGAACACTTGTTGCTGTGAGCTGCACATTGACAGGGCACGGGGAGATGGGGCACCCAGAGCCCCTGGGAGCTGCACATGGCACTGGGAACAGGGAGATGGGGCACTCAGAGCCACTGTGAGCTGCACAGGGATCAGGGAACAGGGAGATGGGACACCCAGAGCCCCTGGGAGCTGCACAAGGAACAGGGAGATGGGATACCCAGAGCCACTGGTCACCCAAGGCCACAGCTCTGGAGGTGACACCAAAAAAGAGGAAAGACTTTCTGCAGGTGCTGGGAAGGATGTGGGGATGGGAGCATAAGCATGGAAAGCTTTTCCTCTCAAAGCTTTTCCTCTCTGCAAAGCTTGTTTTTAATTATAGACTATTTCAGGTTTAGGGATGTCTGGTGTGTGACTTCAGCCCTGTCACCTCCGTGGCTTTGCTCACAGGGATGGCTCTGTCACAGTGTGACACAGGTCTCTGAGGGAGGCTGCCCAAGGTAAAAGTTTCTGTGCGGTCTGGAGAGCTCTTGGACTCTCAGGAACACTTTTATGGTCAGCCAGATGTGTTCAGGGCAGAGGAGAGTGTTCCCCTGTCACCTCATAAACCCGCTGCTCCTGTGTGGGGCTGCCCCAAACCAGCCTGAACCGTCCTGAAGGGCTGATTAGAACTGGGCTTAGGGAACCACCCATCCCAGGGCACAGAGTTCACCAGGAGGGCCCACACTTAGCAAGGGCCTGTGCAAAGCAGCCAGGAGTGGCTGTGGGTACACACAGTGGGGCACAGTGCTGCCCAAACTCACCTGGTCCATCCCAAATCCCACCTCCGTCGGCCCTGGGGCTTGGGGGCTGTTTCTTTAGGGAGCTGCTCATCACTTCCAGGGTCAGGGAGAGTTTGCCACCCCCCCAGGGCCTACACAGCCCAGAGCACAGCCCAGCCCTCCTTCCCCTCAAGGATAACCCTCCCACTGACTTCAAAGCCAAGGCAGCTCGAGAGGACAAAGAGGAGCATTGTGACTGACAGCGCTTGGGGACACCCCACACAAGTTGTTTGCGGAGATCCCAAATCCAGGAGCATTTTTGCAGCTTGGCTTAAGTGTGCAGAGAGCAGGCAGAGCCGAGGAGGAACAGAGCTGCTCGAACTAAAGTAAGAGCATCCACATGGGGGTTTGCATCCAGATTCACTCCATTAGATCCGGCGCAACTTCCACACGGAGACGAAAAGCTCAGGTGCAATCCCAGCTCGGAGGCTGCGCCAGGAACGGGGACCTGGGCGCAAGAGGCTTCAGCAGCAGCTGAACCGGCGCCTTTGGGTGCCCTCGGCGTGGTGCAAAGCACGGGATGAGGCTGCTCCTGGCTCGGCTCCCGCGGCTCTCCCGCCTGCCCGTCGTGCCGGGCGGCTCATCCCGGGGGTGGGAGCGGCCGCAGGGCTCTCTGTGGAGCCGGCGTTCGCAGCCCCGGCTCCGGCACAAGGGAGCACGTCCCCTGTTAATCAGCATTTAATTAAAGGACATGCTGACATTTGGAAATCAGAAACAAGTCTCCTGTGTGGGCTGCCTCTCTCCGCCGCTCGCCTCTTCTCTGAATCACTCCCTGACATTTTGCCAGATTAGGATGTGACTCTCTCTCTCTCTCTCTTTCTCTCTCTCTCCTTCCTTCCTTATAAAAATAAATTGAAAAGGAGAGGCAAAGCCAGCGCTGCTCCTGAGGGAGAGGACACAGGGGATGGGGATTCGCTGGGGAAAAGCTCCCGTTATTCCTGGTCCTCCAAAGACCCTGATGTGGGGCAGGACAGGGATGCTGAGGCGGGGGGTACTCACCGTGTCCCCGCGGGGCAACTGGTTCTGCCTCTCCAAAACCACTCGGAGAGCCGTGCAGGCATCTCGGGTCCCACAGCAGCCCGGGGGACGGGGCTGAGGGAATCACAGTGTGGGTGCTCAGCAGGGAAACAGGGAGTCCCTTGGAGACTTGGAGAGCCGTGGGTGGGGAAGGAGGGAAGGACAGGGCTGGGGAGACCCTCGGAGTGACCCCGCTCCCAGCGACACTCCGGGCGCCAGGCTGGGGGCAGGGGGGGGAGCCCTGGCTGGCAGCACACAGGGACGGGACAGCCGGGCTGGCGGGGGGGCCTCTCCCCACGGACCCCCAGGCGGGACCCTCCTTTTCCCTCAAATTTCCATTCGCCAGCCACCC